CTGAGTCCGATCTACATAGTAAGACCCTATACACCCTGCAGACCCTGTCCTAAATTTGAGAAAAGAAAGAAAGGAGAATAAAAATGAGAAATATCTCTAATTCATTTTCCACATCATAGAAGTAACAACTATTAGTATTACATATCTAACTTCTTCTCATCTTCTGATTTATAGGATTGAGAACATTTGGATTAACACCTGAGATGTTTCACCCAGATCTCCACATAAGGAAGCGTTCAGATCTATGAAAATCTAGGGCCGGGGAGATGGCTCAGTAGAATAAGCGCTTCCCTGGCAAGGGCAAGGATCTGAGTTCAAGCCCCAGTTCCGCAAAAAAAAAGAAAAAAAAAGTCCTCAACAGTTACTAATTTCTGTTCGTTACCAAGCTCTGGTGCAGGAGGTACCAGGTTTACGTGGGTGAGTTGGGGTATTGGAGGAGAGCCCTGCATTTTTATCATTTGGATGCTGATTAACCATGTAACTGTCTGCTGAGCCTCACTTTCCCCATCTGTAGCATGACACTTATGATACCATTAAGGAGGGACAAGCAGTCTTGGCCGTGGTGAATCACAGCCAACACAAGCCACTCGGCTTTCTGCTTCCCCTCTGTCCCAAGGAGCTGTGCCAACATATGGAGTTAATGTTTTTTTCTTTCTTTCTTTTTTTTTTTTTTTTGGCGGAATCAGGGGTTGAACTCAAGCCCTTGCGCTTGCCAGGGAAGCGCTTATTCTACTGAGCCATCTCCTTGGCCCAGGAGTTAATGTTTTCAAACACTTTTAATCACAGAAGCCTAAAGCCATAGAAAGCACCACTGTGGTGGCCTAGGAAGCCCACACTAACAGGGAACTGCAGTGCACTGGGAGGGACTGTGACTCTCCAGCATCAGCCTTGCCAGCAGCAGGATTTGTGCTGCAGCCTTTTCTTGTAAATCAATACAGAAAAACTAGATTGTCTTCATTTCTTTACAAGCGCTGGTGTGGGGTTTGGTGACTTTTTCCAGTTTGGTTTCTTCAGCATTAGTAGTGGGAATGTGTGTTCATCGGCTCTCTATCACTACAACAAATAACCAACTTATAAGAAGAAAAGGTTTATTTTTGCCTCATGATGTTGGTGCTTCCAGTCCCTGGTCAAGTGGACCCATTGTTTTCAAGCATGTAGTGTGGGCACCAAGTGACAATGGCAGGAAGTGTGTGGCCCAGCTGATTGCTGAGTGCACAGCCAGGGAGCTACAAAGGAAGAGGAAACAACCACAGCCCACTGAACCCTCCAAAGGCACGCCCCCAGCACCTACTTCCCTCCCACTAGGCCCCGCCTCTTAAAGGCTCCTCTGTGACCCTGCAGAACAGCCTTGTTACCTAAGCCCTGAGGACTCCCTGCTCGCTAGACTGCTGTTTATTTCCATCACCCATTCACTGCTGGTGGGCTTTGTTAGCTGCTGAAGCTCCGCAGCTGATCATTTACTTTTACAGCAGCCTGGGCTTTTCTCCAGGCTTTATTTTGCACATTTGAAGTGTTTCCATGTCATTGCTCATAAACTCCCGCAGTTCTTATGTGAGCTCTGTTGTCAGGGGCCATTTTCTATTTTCTTTTCTCGCTTGCTTGGTTGTAATAAGCAGGCTGGTCGCCATTGTAATTAGTTCTTAAATAGCAGGAGCCTTTGTGCCAAGGACATTTTTCTAAATTGTTTTCTAGCTTAAAAAGTCATCTGCACCTTAAACAAATTAAAATGCAGTTATCAGGCCACCACTGTTTCCCTAGCAGTGTGTGCTACGTAATCAGAGTGGACGGGCGGGTCTTCCAGCTTTGGTGCGGAGAGCTGCCCGGCTGGGAAGTGTTTATGTGGCGTTTAGGGTCTGCTGGTTCAGCAGCGGAGCCCAGGACTGGCGTGCCCAGGACAGCCAGATCAGCACTTCTGGCCTTGCTGGGTCTCCCTCCCCTCCTCTCTGTGCCACTTCTCTAGAGCTTGCATGTCTGATTGTTTCTAATTAATTCATTGACCCAGAGAGGCTGTGGGCTGGGCTAGGGAGACACTCTAGGTGTGGGTGTGTGGGTGTGTGGGGTGTGTGCATGCATGTGGGTGCATGTGTGCTGTCTACTGGTAGTCCACCTCCTCACCGGTAGACTTTCAGCAGCAATCTCCAAAGCATGTTTATTTTATTTTTTTTCCTTTTTAATTCTTTATTTCTTTATTGAGAAATAAATATGAATGAGACAGTTTCACAGCTGATTAATAGAACAGTTTTGATAATACATTGTACATTGTTATCTTCTTAGTGGTTATCCATAGTACAAGAAGCAGACAGGATATTCTGTTCAAACACTGTTAGTACACCTCTTTCCTCGCATTGAATTAAGCAAAAGTAGCTGTAAATTTATCCTATTTTGTATATATAAATACAAAATGATCTTTCCTTTGTATCCTTTTTTTTAAATTGTCAGAGGTGAATATTCTATTGGCATCTAAATACTATAGGTGCTTGAATTCAACTAAACATCTAACACTGTCTAGCAGTCTATAATATTAGTGGGTTATCCTCAGAAGTTATTGACTTGAGCCTTTTACAGCTCATCATATTAATATGGCTTTGTATACTTCGTTTTTATACTTATCTGCTGGATGGTTAAGACCAAGATATAGCAAGACATATATAACAAGAAATGTAACTTTTGTATCTGATAAGGTCAGCCAAGTACTCTCAGGATTTATCCTGTAGCCCTGTACCACCCTTTGTACATCCTTTTGTCAGTGTCAGACATGAGGATGAGTCACGGCCATTGTCCAAAGCACGTTTAAACAAAACCAGGATAATGACCTTTGGTTTGGAGAAACCAAATTGTGTCCTTTCCCACTGTCATTTTGGTCCTCCCAGTGGTCCAGTGATGGATCATGGTATCCACCTGGGGAAACTGTCTCAAAACCCAATAAGATCCAATTTCTTTTTTCCCCCATTCATTTATTTACTACTGCTGCTTCCTCCTTTTCCTCCTCCTCCTCCTCTTCTTCCTCTTCCTCTTCCTTTTCCTCCTCTTCCTCTCCCGCTCCCTCTTCATCTCCCTCTCCTCCTTCTCCTTCTCCCTCTTCTTCTCCTTGCTTTTGCTCTTCTTCCTCTTCTGCAACATCCTCTTTTTTCTTTCTTCCTCTTAGCCAACCATGCTGCATGTTCCCAATACACGTAGACATGTATTAACTGGGCTCAGGGTGTGGGTGTGAACTGCCAGCTGAGTCGCCGGCCAAAGCTCTAGAACCAAATCTTCAGAGCCAGCCACGTGAGCCGTTCCCACGCATGGGGGAGCGTGTGCCCTGTGTGTGGACAAGCTCTGCATCTGCTTGTTTTATGGGTTTTTTTTTGTTTGTTTGTTTTTGTTTTATCTGTACTGGAAACGTGGCTGAGAGCCTCACATATCTCGTGTGTACTAGCTCTCTGCCCCACCACAGAGCTATACCTCAGCCCAGACTTTTACTTTTATGGAACCCACGCACGTGGCATTCTCCCTCTGTTGCTGCCCTGGACAAGGATAAGAATGAGCATGTATAGCAGGTAGAAGTGATAGAAAAGCAGAACTAGGACTGGCTTCAAGTGAGGGGGATTAGTAGGATATAATGTGAACAAAGAGGATATTGGGCGAGGTCTTCGGGAGCAGGAAGGAAAGGTCCTTCATAATACTTTCCCCACACTGTTCTCCCCAACTCTTTATCAGTTCTTCCTGTCCTTCCAAAATGTATTTGGAAAGTTAGTGGAAGGAGCCCTGAGGCTTGGGCATGTGCAGCTGGGCGGTGGAAAGCGCCTGCACTGCAGGACATCCTGTCCTTTCTGGGTGGTCACAGCTCATCGGTGGTGTGCGGCTGGTGGGCGGAGCCCAGTGGGTCTAGCCTGCATCTGCGCGTTGGTAGCTACTGCCCCGCAGCAGTGAGCCTGCAGAGCTGCATCTGGCCGGACTTCGCAGGGCAGGCTACCAAACCTCCTCCTCTGCTGGAGTATCTGTCTCACAAGGGTTACGGGGGGAGGCTCACAGAAGGGTAGACCCCAACAGCAAGGGAAGGCAGAGGGCGGGGTCCTGGGGTACTGCTGTGGTGAGGGACGTCTGTCCTGAGTGCAGGAGAAGTGTAAAGGGCTGCGTGGGCTGAGGTGCTCTGGAGAGCCAGCCTCTGACTGACGTGTGGCCAGCGGAGGCTGCCTGCAGCCTGCCTGATGTTCCTCAGACGGCCTTGTGCACATGCACTCCTCTGGAAGAACCACCTTCCGCCCTGGAAAACTCCCACCCCTCCTCCAGCCCTGGCCGCCACTGTCCCCTGATCCAGCGCCTCCAGGCCTCTGTGTGCAGCTTCTGGCACGCACACCTCCCTGCACCGCAGTTCTTCCTCCCGGTGTGTGCTGGCTCTTCCTCCCGCAGGGTATGAGTAGGCTGCTCTAGAGTCCGCGGTGATTTCGTAGGTCCTCACCTCCCAGAGTTCTCGCATCCCTGCTCCAGCCCGCTGTCTCCTTGGAGGACTAAGGAAGCGTTCAGAGCGAGCCACGCAGCCCTCCGAGGCCGTGCTCTGTGGTCCCCAGTCAAGACCCAAGCTCATGCCCATCCCAAGAGCAGCTGAGAGCAGCGTCGCCTGTATAGATCCAGCCATGGGTAGAGGCACAAGATGCCCAGAGTACAAAATTTAAGGCAGTGGTCCTCCTTCGGGAGTATACAGAATCAGGGCCAGCCTCTAAGAGGAAGAGCCTCCTTCAGCTTAGCACATGGGACACCTTCCCTGACCTCCGCCCTGCCAGTGCTGAGTGCTGAGGTGGCCCTGGGGTCCAGCTGACCCGGCTGATCTTGGGGAAGTTACCGTTCCTTTCCATCTCAGTTTCCCTCATCCTGAGTGAGGAGATTAAATCAGGTGATGTGAATAAGCTATTCAGCATGTGGTTCCATCAAGCCTCAAACGCCGGGTGGATGCTTATGATTACTGTTGTTGTTCGGGCTCCCCCATTCTGAAGAGGGTGTGTCTTGTGTCTCTGCTGCAGGAATTGCTTACTTAGGAGGCGTGTGCAGTGCTAAGAGGAAGTGTGTGCTGGCCGAAGACAATGGGCTCAATCTGGCCTTCACCATAGCGCACGAGCTGGGCCACAAGTAAGTACCAGCCCCC